TCAACTGGCCGGTGGTCCTGCAGCAACATTTTGCACTTTGAAGGTGCGAAGTGCATATCGAATAATGGGACCACTCTGGACAGGTTATTCAGGGTTGATTGGGCCACCCCAACATTGTCGAAAAGCAAGACGATATCGTCCGCATAATCTAGATCAACTAACCTTTCACCAGGCAGCACTTCAACACCTACATCGTGAGATTCCGCAAGGGAACACTCCATGATGGAATCCACAACGAAATTGAACAAAAACGGGGAAATCGGACAACCCTGACGAAAGCTACTTGTGGTCGGGAAGCTCTCCGACAGGACACCGTAGACCCTGACCCGGCCTGTAGTGTTCGAGTATAGAGCACGAAAGATGTTCACATATTTCGTGGGAACACCTTTCCGCACAAGTATTTCGAACAGAATCGATCGATCGACTGAATCGAACGCACTCTTGAAATCGAGGAACACAGCTATTGTCGATCTGCGGTATGCGTGGCGCTGCTCTAGCACCTGCCGCAAAGTAAATATATGGTCTATACAGCCATGTCCTGGGCGGTAACCTGCCTGCTCTTCCCTAATCCGAGATTCCCGTTCCGCAGTGAGGCGACGAACGATAATCGAGGCCAATAATTTTGTCACAATTGGCGTTAAGGTAATACCCCAGTTGTTAACACAGTCGGTGCGACTGCCCTTCTTGTATAGTGCCACTATAATCGATTTGCTCCAATTAGCCGGGACACTCCCTTCCAGATACATTCGAATACGGAGGTCAGTGCTTTGCAGAGGACCTCACCTCCATCCTTAAATAGTGCAGGTGGGAGGGAATCCGGGCCAGCGGCACGAAAACGATTAAGGGCTGTGTTCGCGTTTCGGACCTCGGCCTCTGACGGAGGCTCTAAACTAACCGTCCATGGCTCGTCCTGCATCACCTGAGTAGGAAGAGGTCCGGGAGCAGGGGGCCAGCTGAACTGAACTTGAAAGTGTTCCGCCCAACGAGCCATACGGCGCTCCTTATTGTGTATTAGCGCATCCGCGCTTTCTCTTATTGTCTCACTGACGCCTGCTTTCCTGGGACTAGTGGTGCGGATCATCTGAAAGAGCTGAGTTAATTGCCTAATGCTCCTACCTCATCTATTTCTCGAGCCCTATTGGTCCACTAGGCTTCCCTGTCAGAACGTCGGCTCCGCTTTAGTTCACGCCTAATAGCCCGTTTGGTCACATTGTGTTCAGAGCCAGCCGGGAGGTATCTTCTAGATTCCAACAGGTTCACGGACCTCTCGGATATCCAGTGGCTGGTGCGGTGACGATTGATGGTGCCACAAACAGATGCTCCTGCTTCGAGCATGGCGGTCGAGATCCTATTCCACTGATGTTCAGTTTCATTAGTACAAGACAGCGGAAGTTCGATACGCAGCGCCTCTTGATTGGCTTGCCTGACCGAGGACTGAGACAATTTCTCCGTTGCCAATCGTAGGGGACGCTTGGTGCGCCTCCCGGTAAAGTTCATGGAGAAACGACAGCGTACCAAGGCATGATCAGAGTCGACACAGATACTCCAGTATGAGCGTCAATGCAGGATGCAACCATTCAACCCGTAACTTATGGCTATGTGGTCCATTTGGGTCCATCGCTGGCCAGCTACAGGAGGACGCCAAGTGACACTTCGGCGCCCACTGTGTCTAAAAGCATTGCTAGTAAGAAACAACTGGTGCTCCGCACACAGTTGCAGCAGACGCTCACCGTTGTCAGTCCGCTCGTAGATAAGCCCATAATTACCACCCAGCTGAACTTCTGAAGAGTTCAGACGTCCTACTTGTGCGTTCATATCCCCTGCAAGTACTGTAATATCTGAACTAGTAGCACTGCGTAGTAGCGTGTTCAGTTCGTGATAGAATGTGTCCTTGAGAACATCTGAACTGCAGTCGGTGGGAGCATAAGCGGAAATCACAAACAAACAGCGTGTTGTACTACTTCATGAATCAACCTTAGCTGATGTCGTCAAACGGGCTGCACATAAACGGCTGTTCACCGGAACCCAATCAACCAACAATGGTTCGGCCTTGGAGCTTAGAATGATACCTACACCAGCTTGACCCGTGAGTGCTGCATCGGCGTCTCCGGATGCGTACAACCAATAACGAGAGGATAAGCCGGGTGTAGTTAGTTAAACAACCCCATTAAGGCCATTGATCCTAGTTTCGGACACAACACACATCAATACCCAGTGTGTCTAAGGTGCGTGCGAGTGCAGCCTGTTGACCTGTTTGTCTTAGAGTGCGAACGTTGAACGTCGCCATGGAAACGGGATAGCGTGGCCTTATAAGGGACTTTTGCCGATAGGCGTCCGATAAGTGCGGTGGGATGATGGCTGCAGATGGTTCTACTCCAGTGGCACTTCGGTTGCTGTCAATTAAGCTGGGAATTATGGAAGGAAGGTTAGTAATGGGGGTCGGGTTGGGAGTAAGAGAAACGGGTGGGAAAGAAAGAAGGGAGGCGCCAGCAGTAGCATGTTTTCGCTTATCCGCCCTGATGTATGCAGCAGATACGGCGACCCTTGATAATCTGCGCGACGGCCGATGCAGGACGAAGTTTATGTTTGAATAAGATGTCATGGTTGTATGTGGGCTGAGATACTGCCAGGGCGCCCAGATCTAGACAGGAGGACGATTAGGGTCCTCATCCAAAGCCTTTGGCTCAAAAGCCTGTCCGCAAGGCAGCGGGGTGGCAATGATTTAGTTTTACAGAAATGGACGCCATCCCATTTCAAACCCCCCACCTGGAGGACCAGGAGACTGAGTTTGTCTGACCTCTCACCATTGACCAACCTGGTAGTAGCTCTCAAGGGGGCCCGGAAGCATCACCCAGTATAGCTCAATGGGTCAATGAGGTACGCAAACCGTCGCACCACGTTAAGGTCCAGTCTCGTTGCGACGGAGAGTTATGCGCACTTGTTCATAGATGCGAATGGTGATTACGGATTCTGTAGAGAAGAGCACACCAGATACCATTAGTCCCGGAGGGACAGTGGAAGCTTCTCTTCAGAAGAGTACCACGCTGGCTCGCCGAACAACCTCCTCGTGACGCCAGCTGGACGGTTCTGGAATTTCCCGTTCTGGTGAATAGTTCGGCGGCAGTGTTCCAGGACGTGGTGGGTTTTCGACTGACAAGCGTTTTCCCCATAAAAAGCTGCAGATGTCCGTTTAACAACACTGTGACGTGGCGGATGTGACTAGCCACTAAATGCAATCACTGTCCCTCGTGTCCTTTGAAGACATTTTACACCAGCAGACAATCCGAGCATCGGATCTTGTCTCTGACTTCGGGTGTGTTGGGCCCCTGACATGGCTTATCGTCATCCGAAAGGCGTATGAATTGAGTGTCTGGTCACCGGCTCACAACCGTTACAAACCCCACATCTCGCCCGGCTGTCTTGTGGGTTAGGCCCTTTGGCCAAAGGCTCGGGTCGGTGGTCCCCTAAGACAACAAACCTACCTCGGCCTAGGCAACCGGGTAGTATCTCCAAGTGGCATTTGGTGTACCCGCTGGGTGGTTGGACTGCGATTCGCAATCTCTATTCCTACACGATTTTCTTGAATATTCGAGACAAATTGAAAAGCATTAGACAGAGCTCATCAACACCTTAGCCTGCTGTGAAGGGCCTTCATGCGACTTGATCTTGTTGACTTTTCGCAACGTTTTAGCAATTGTCTGTTCGGCGTTAGTGTCTTCCGTCAAATGTGATCTGCCTGTTGGAGTGCAATGTGAGCTCAGCTCCTCTTTTGCACAGGCATTCCGGTAGCAAAAGGTATGTTGGTTAGCTACTCGCTGATAACATTGATCATTTCTGTTAGTGAATCTTGATTCGGATTCGTACATGCGTACCGTATGCGTTGTCTGTCTACTTGATTAAAGCACATCGAACAATGGTATGTAAAAACTAATTTGTGACTGTAGAAAGTAGCAGCCACGATTAAACTTTGCACAATAACCTGCCTCGACGGGGAATCGAACTCCGGACATACGGATTACCGTTCCGCTGCTTTATCAACTGAGCTACCGTGGACTGACGACATGACTTCTGCTTGGTTCGCGACGTATTGCCCATAAGCTCACAGTATCTGTCCTGGTGTTGCAGATTGACTCCCTCACTCGTCACTTCCCAATGAACTGAAGTATCTGTCCTTCAGGTGTTCAAAGTGCGATGGTAAATTTAGCGTATTGGTGGTTTTGTGAGTACGCAATTTTTGTAGAAAGTAGAAACCACGATTAAACTTTGCACAATAATCTGCCTCGACGGGGAATCGAACCCCGGACATACGGATTACCAGTCCGCTGCTCTACTGTTTCTGTTATATGTCGCTTGGTATGCTTTGGTCTTCGAACTGCTTCGTATCAACGGGTCTCTACGGCCTAGTATGCAATCTGTCACCTACTTCAGTCGCAGTGCTAACATGAACTATGCCACTGTCCCGTCCTAGATCTTGTTAGGGCTGAAACTTTGATTTCCCTTGGCGTCCACAAATCTGTTCTTAACTCCCTTACGTAAAGTGTTTCCTGAAGTCCATAACACAGAATGCTACCCATCGTGCCTTTGGCATCGGAGTTTAAGATCTAATTTGCCCACAGAAGGTTCTATTCTCTTCCGGCTATCTTCTCTGTTTACATTGTCCACGTCAACTAATACTACTACTACTATAATAATAATAATAATAATAGTGTGCTTCGTGGGTTCATGAGACATGTCTTTTTCGGCACTCTAGGGCATCTGAGTCATCAGGAGCAATCTTTGGCCAACTCAACTCACGGTTTATCCAACTATCACTTCGTCATCCATTTTAATCTCTATATTTGCCTGTGGACATGACGTTTTGTGACATCTTTGTTATACTTTTATCCTCTAATACCAGAAGATTCGTCCTGCAGCTCTATCCGAATTTGATCTATTGTTGAGACAATTACCTTCTATCCACTCGCCTCGTTTTCCTGCTACTTCCCCCCCCCCCCCCAAAGGCCGCCAAGCTCATCTCTGCCAACTTGACCGCGTATGCGAAACACATGCTGCAGATGCGTCAGTTCCTAGAACAACAACTGCGAGAGGCCTTTCCATCCACCGACCCCAACAGTGTGTGTATCTTCGGTTTGGATCGATGCCAGGCGGCTGAAGCCAACTCGTCGCCGCGGTCGGATTCCACATCTCCACTGCGCGAACGTTTTCCCCGTCTGCCGAACACTGTCAATATAACGTTTAGGGGACCGCCATTTTTGAACAGTAAGCAAACTTTTTCCCTCCACTTTTGGTATCGATACCCTTCTGATTCAATCTACATCATCATGTCGGCTCAGGCCGTCTGCAGTGGCTAGTCTTCGTCCCCTTGGTGGACCCTTCCGGTTGGTGCTTGTAAGCTCCATTCTTCTCGTCCTCCTCTCTTGTGCATATGGAACTGCGCCATAGTCGAATGGAGCAGCCAAATCCACCGACGTAATTTTTGAAGTGCTCTTAGTGCACTTAGTTACGACGGATTTTGTTGCCACGACATGTGCATGCATGATTGCTGTCCACTGCGTATGCCAACTCACAGGTGTGCAGCCATTTTGCTAAGCAATGAACCTGGTTATGTTACTGTTGTCTGCTCTCGTGCGGAGACCTGCGTCTTTCTGCTTTCATATTGTCTTCCGCACGATGACCCCCAAGAGTTCGTCCGTGGCTGCTGCGTGTAGGCTAGTTGTTCTTCTCTGATTGCCTTGTTATTTGTTACGGGACGCTTTCCCCATCATAGCCTTCTGTTTCAGGCTAACACTTAAACCTTGAACTGCAGTTGGACCATCACTGACGGGTTGAATATGTCATCCGAATCTTTTGTCTTAATGTACTTACTGTCCTCCTTAATGATTCTCCATGGTTATACGTGAGCCGGAACATTCCCCCAGACCTTCCGAACCTAATCAAGGCTGCGACTGAAATTCTCACCCACTGTTTGGCGCAAAGTACTAACCACAAAACGTCAGGAATGCATTTTATCGCTATTAATATTATCCCAGTCTCTATTTTTGGGCAAAAAATTGAATTCTAACCATTGGCCAAGCTACTTAAAGTGACTTTCAATGGATTCAGAAATGCCACCCAGTTTGGCTCGATGGATCAGGGAAGTACGCAAGCTGTCACACCACTTTTAGGTTCAACTTTGTTTCACTGGCCACGATATCAAACTCTTTGTGCCGGTTAGAGATTGACAAGATGTAGACGCCTTGGTATTTTCTTGGAACTTTTAGGTTTTGCACTGAATCTGGATTTTTCTTCATTCTCCCGGCACCACCTTCTTGTGAGTGTTTCGCAGTGAAATGCTGCTTAATGGTGCTAATGTACCACTGATGGCAATGGGTATGACGTGCTCTTTCAACATAGGACCTTCTGTTGTCTGAGTACTTTTCACTTCTGTTGTTCACGCCCATTGTGGAGGCGATGGCCGTCGCAGTGTTGGCAACATATCTGCAGTCGGTTCAGAGCCAATTCTTTTGCGGCCGCACTTCTCAGTGCATAAGCATAAATCAGTGATAATAAATGAAGATGAAGACATCAGCAGGACGCCGGTGCACAGTACCGACGCTTCGCTACCCTGCAACCATCACCAGTCGCATATGGGCTAAGGATACTTCGAGGTTCGCCCGGTCCCCTACGCGGGTTCGAACCCGCGCCCTCGGATTACAAGGCGCGCTTGTGATCCATAAGGCTGCCGGCCGGCAATGATAATAATAATTATAATAACGCAACAATAATAGGTATAATTCCAATCAAGTGATGAGCTGGGTCCATAGTTGGTGTAGGTTATATTTGTACAGAATAAGTATTGTTGTTGTTTCTGTCTGTGTGTCTCTGTCAGTGTATATGGCTGAGGTTGATGTTGCATTCTTGATGCTTCTTCACCACAGTTGGGCTAAACAAACTTACACTGAAACTAGGTCTTTTTAAGCTGGCTAAATTTCATTCCACTTTATTTGGATTGTTCTGCCTACCTGAATAATCTTCTATTAACTGGCCACGTTTCTTCCGCTAATTGCGTTTATCTTCGGTAACTTTGTTGCGTTTGTAGCATTTTTAAGTAACTTGTGGACATTTTTCCTTATCGCGGATTCATCGCTAACCAACTTACTTCATATGCTAATTTAGCGAAGCGTTATGCCACCTTAGCTGCATGCAATATTTGATTTGTTTTATTTCATCTTGTGGTTTCAAATGATTGACTGTTACTTGATATCTCCGGGTGTGGCTGCGCTTGATGTGCATATTGACAAGGTGCCTACCTGTCTATTACCCACGACCTCGTTCATACTGGCTCCAGGAGACAGTTGGTCGTTGCTGGAGGGACGGGGTGCACGGTTATTGTGGCCGTGCTAGGCTCGAAGAGTGGTTCCATGCACTCAGTGTGGAGCGGACTACGGTCTAGCCACCGCCTTGTGTGCGCTTAAATCCCAAATATAGTGTGCTTATGTTTACCTGTGAAGGAGTGTGGGCCGGCTCCGTTGATGAAACATGGCTCCCATCCACATGCCTCCCGGTCTTATTCGTTCGGCTTTACACTGGATATGGAATGTGTGGATGGAGCTGTGGGTGGTGCAGCGCAAGCCACCCCTGGTCCCACTGTAGGCTGGCCACAGTGACAGGCAAATCCGAAACCGAATGCCGCCAACCATCTGGCTCACAGGTTTATGTTTTGCCGTGAAGTTAAAGCTACTCGGGGAGGGGGCTTCGAGGATACTACAAATGCTAATTGCTACTTGTATTGTGTGAATTTCTTCTTTTTCAACTGTTACATGTTTTCTAGGCCGTTAACCTCGTAAAACACGCTCAAAACCGACCGAAGGCACATGGTTTCAGAAGTTTTCGAAAACAGTCGATTGGTATGTTTGGTAGGCAATGTTTCGATTTTGGCACGAACGCTTCGTCAAGCCAATTAAACATAAGTGCTATGGCATTTAAGACAAACTTGGGGCATGAGCGCGACAAACGAGGGATGTCATAGAGACTAGTCACCATCAGAGGTTGAAATGTCATCTCAAAAGCACATAAAGAGGGAAAATGTCCTAATGGTCCACGTTACGAGGTCACCACACGTGGCTTTTTCCAGTGGTGGAGTGGAAGTTGTTTGATGTTCCCTCTCTAACCTGAATCCGTCCACCGACGTTTATCAAACTGGCTGGTGTTAAGGCAGGTTTCGATGAATTTGACAGCTCCACCTCATCCATTCTGTTCGTGCAGCTGTTCACTCTGGCGGCGTTCGCCACTTATGAAAATGTCTTTTCTATAGTGTTAATCACAATACCCTCCTCTAGCGCTCCGTTTCTCGACTATGCGAGCCACGGCACAGTGAATCTGATTCATTCGTTATTTACGAGTTTCACTTAGCATTGTTATTTCAAACGGTTTGTCGTTCCACCGATGCGTATGTTTAGCCCCGACCGCCGTGAGGCATCAACCAGGCGTTTCCTCAAAGAACCCACTGGGCTTTGATGACAGTCATTCCAACAATCATTCGTAACCAGCTGCAATCCTGAAAGCGGTAAGGATTAAGAAAGCAATGCACATAATGTGATTACAGATCGGATAATGCGCATGGAATATCAACGAAAGTGAGTATCTTAGCTGGATACCAGAATGAATCTTATGTGTTATGTATCCACAGTTTACAAACTACATGGATAAAGCTCTGATGCACAGTATCTACAGCTGACCAATGGAGAATGTTTCGCCAACTACCTTTTGAGATGTTTCGAAGACATTGCATGTAGTGTAATGATAGAAAGAGTTTGAATTACCACCGTGAAAGACCGGCACTCTCTACATCTGTAGCAGCTATTAACAGTCAGCGAAACTCGAAATGGCTTTGGGATAGGATAACATTTGCCAGTACACCAGCGGTTTCACTCCAGATTTATGAATGTACTCCTCAAATCGAGCTGCAGTGAAGCTTTGAGGTCAGAGGTCAGACTGGGTGCCCAGCTAGTTTACCAATATGTCCGAGGTGCCATTAACAAATGTGTTTTCAAGCCACGTAAATACAGTGAGGTGTTGAGCGCCGAGTTGAATTGAAGAGTCACTTAATGTGGCTTGGGTATCCGGCCAGTCACTGGTGTATGGTATGCACTGGATTCAGGTAGAAAAAAGGTGAAGTATTGCGGCCAGGATGGTCTGAAGAGAAGCCAGTAGGACTTGTGTGTCAAACGTACTGATGTACCAGCGTTTTCACTGACCAGCAAAACAGGTGCTGATATTTTGGCACAACTGACGGGTCCTTTGTAACGTTTGGTCATATACTAACTAGACCTTTCTTGAACGCTTGGCACTTAGTTATAGAACAACCCCGATCATATTACTATCTATCGGTAACGTTTGCAGCGTAGTGAAAGGTGGGACTTAGACTAACTTTTCGATGTAAGCTCGTTACAATCACTAAGTCAGATATCCATCACACGTGCAGGAAAGCACTGGACGGCCGTCTCCTCCATTCGGGAATCATCACCGACGGTCTTAACCAAGTACTCATACCGCCCCGTGGCCTTGAGGATCACAAGTATACCTTGTAATCCGCAGGTCGCGGGTTCGAGCCTGCGTGCGGGATCAGGTGACCCTCGCAGTATTTTTAGCCTACGCGCGACTGGTGGCTGTAGCGCGGCAACGAAGCGTCTATGCTGCATACCGGCGTGTTGCTGATGCCTTGCACTCATGCTAGTAATGTCACGGTCTATGGCCCATAGAGGGTAGCTAGAGTGCAAACTACTGATGATTCCCGAAAGGATGAAACTTCCTTCTAGCGTTTTTACTGATGTCCAGTGCTGTCAGAAATTTGTCAGACGTACTCCAAGATTTCATCTTCTGAAGTATCCCTTCAGAAAAATATTTGCTGGCGTGTCCATTTTTAACCTTTAATCTTTGGTTTTCTTTTCAGTTCATCTTTTCAGTTGATCAACTATGATCCAAGCACCGAGGTTCGGTGGATCCACCTACCACAACCCACATCGAAAGCATAACAATAAACAAAAACGGTAGGATGGTGGGGTCGGGTGCGAATAGAATATGGAAAAAATGAAAGCAGGAAGGAAGTGTGTTAGATTAATCAGAAGGGAATGAAAATGCACAACCAGAAGATAGAAATCGAATGCACGAACGACACTGACTGCGTGACTGCGCCATGTCTGACACGGTCTCCAACCATTGTTATGGACTGACCCGAGGCCCCCATCCAAGAAGACGGCACGCACCAGCCTGACCAAGTA